CCCCCCCACACACACCTTTCCCCATGAGGTAGATATTCCAGCTAGCATCTCAGTCTTTACGTTGTGATCAGTGAGGGATAGATTTTCACAACACACAAAGAAAACGTGGAGGGATGTGTTCTGGAGCTGACAACCTCGTGTGATTCTATTCACTATGTTGCGAGTTCATGACGTTGTGCGCTGATACTTCACAAGATCTCCCGATTCTATTTATCAATAATTACGATTGTGGCTTTTATTGGAATTTTCAGTGGAAATATTATGTGTTATTAAGAGGCAGGGATAGGTCCAGAACAACATACGAAGGGAAATTAAACAAGCGGGTAACAGGTAAAGGTCAGGGAACGTAGCTTTTTTGAGAGCATCCGAGCAAAGGAATGAATGGAGAACCATGATCGCCGATGTCTGTCGCAGATCTGGCACTGGATGATGATGATGAATGTGCTTCGGTTAGCTATTTTAGTGAGAAAACTACTGAAACAATAGTTTGCTGACTGCGGTGTCGGGTGTAGGGCATGGTCATCTAGACTGTGCTGGTTGTGACGTATGCATGTGTCCCACACGGACCTGTTGAGCCCTGGCTGCCTGAGTAAGTCGCGCGCGATCGGTCCGATCGGTCCATGTAGCGATCGAGAGTCTCGTCGCATGAGACAGACTGGCGGTGTGGCAGGTTTAGAGCATCAGCATTGATCAAAATACCTGGCCAAGGCGTGCCCACGGTCGACACACCGTGTTTGTGGAGTGTGTGTGTCCCTGTGTGTGTGTGTGTGTGTGTATGTGTGTGTGTGTGTGTATGTGTGTGTGTGTGTGTGTATGTGTGTGTGTGTGTGTGTCCCTGTGTGTGTGTGTGTGTGTCCCTGTGTGTGTGTGTGTGTATGTGTGTGTGTTTGTGTGTGTGTGCTTTACTTTATGTGCTACCCGGTATATACTGTGTGTGTGTGTGTGTGTGTGTGTGTGTGTGTGTGTGTGTGTGTGTGTGTGTGTGTGTCGGTGAAGGCAAGGCTTGAGGCTATGTGCAAATAATACCTTGCTACTTTCTCTCTGTTGTGAACTGCAAGTCGCCCACGAGATTTATCAGTCTCGCGCGACGTCGTTTAAGGAGACACTTTTGTCGCTTCTCTCACACGCCACTGAACGTTTGGGTGCCCACTAACGAGAGCGCAACGGGTCTGGTCTGGTCCGGTCGTTTTCTGGTGGTTTCAGTGCACACTACAACTACAACCACGCCGCGATTGTACCCAACGACCTGGAACTTAGAGTAGAGAAATCTTTAGCCTCAATGGCTTCCAGGGCTCTTTCCTCAGTTCCCTGTTGCAGTGCTGCGGCAGCCTGGAATCCCATAAACATGGTTACATCGATAACTTTCTATTATCAAAGGTCGTTCATAAAAAGATTTAAAAAATAGCTCATGTTCACTTGGCCAAAAAAGTGTCCGCGGAAGTCCGCGCATTGGTTCTGATGGTGCTGCAGTCTTTGTTATGAAGCTCTCTTTCGTTTCTCCCAAAGAAGAATAGGAATAGCACAGTTAATTTGTGTCGATCTGATTGTCGTTCACACAAGGAGGGTAACTCTGTCTGCAAAGTCTGCACTTTTTCGTAGAGGGCGCCACCGGATTGTGAGAGAAAGTAGCAAGGTATTATTTGCACATAGCCTCAAGCCTTGCCTTCACCGACACACACACACACACACACACACACACACACACACACACACACACACACACACACACACACACACACACACACACACACACACACACACACAATCCGGTGGCCGGTCCCAGAGTGGCTCTGTCGGTCTGACCTGTAGCTCGCCTGGCTCGCACTGTACAGATGAATGTATACATTGTCGTGTGCTAAAGCAGCGTCGTTGTATGGCCTGTTTTTTGTCAGCTGAGCTGCGCGATGAGTCAGACGTGCTATTCAACAGTGTTGTAAAAATGGCGGACATGTGTCGCCTCGCTTCTTCTTTATTTTTGACTGAAACTCTTCACAGATCATCAAAATCAACAAGAAGTAAGTATTATTAGGTGCTTTACTATTAAATATTGATGCTAGCATCAATACTTGGCCACAAAGTCACCCAGAAATGCACGTTATCATACTTTGAAACTTCGAATCGAGAGGTTGACCTAGGTCCGACTGTTGTCGTAGGCCTTGGCCTAGGCCTAGATCTAGGTGTGCTTCTCTAGATTCTAGATCTAGATCTAGATCTAGCCTTGCATTACCAATGTAAACTATCGCCGCGCGCAGCTGCAAGTGTGTTTGTGTGTGTGCGTGTGTGTGTGTGTGTGTGTGTGGGGGGGGGGGGGGGGCTGCACTTCGCACATGACGTAAAGAAGAGTTGTCCCGACTTGGTATAATTGGTCTTGGATTACACACCTACACACGTCAACACACAGTGCGGCTGTGCTGAGACGCAGCGAGTGTGCCTCGCGCTCGCTGAGACACCGGCGCCAACCCACAGTGCGGCTGTGCTGACACGCACATGGCGTGAGCCAGGCGAGTTACAGGTCAGACCTACAGAGCCACTCTGGGACCGGCCTTAGCATGGACACGTGACTCAGCCTTGTTGTGATTGGCTGCAAACCACCCGATCGCGCGATTCGCTGGCCTGAAAACAAACGCTCTTGTTTTTGTAGGTCAAAGACCGAGTCGATCGTTTGTGCCACGATGGCTGCTTTGCGCCCTCAATTTGGCTAGTCCCGACTACCCGATGGGCCCGACCCGACCCGACCCGACCCGACCCG